CGTGTCCCGGCCTGCGCCGCCCTCGCGCTGCACCGAGGCCCCGTGTTCCAGCAGCGCCTGCGCGCACCTGCGGGGAGGCCAAGGCGGGTCACCCGGGCGCCCCTCGGGACGCCCGCACCCTGTCACTCCCGACCCACTACGCCGTGGCTGGCGTTTGCCGGGCGAGTTGGCTTCCTAAAATGTCAAGGGTAACGCCGAGTAAAGGGACATGAGTTCGAGTCTCCTGGGCTGAGGCTACGCAAGCTCAAAATAAGCTGAAAAAACAAAGATTGTGACAAAGCGGTTACCAAATGGTGGAAACATGCCGGGACAGGTCATGGGAGTCCACGCACAGAGTTCCAACTTATAACGAAATTGTAACTGCTTGGTGCTGCTTGGGAGGGTAATGTTCATATAACAGTGCTCGAGGCACTAGTTATCGGGCTCTTTGTCATACCTCAGGCAGTCACGGTTCTAGGGAGAGAGGCCTTTAGAGGTTGGCGTGGACCTCTCCTGAAAACCGCTCAGCTTTGCTCCCACGGAGGGAATTTATCCTTTCCTCAAGGACACTGACTTACACTGGCATCTCGGTGTCCTCAGATAGCGCTGGAAGAATTAGGTCGGAAACACAACCATGCCTTATTGCAAGGCTACTTTTGCTCCAATCAGATTCTCTTTGAGCAGACTGGATTTTGGCTATACCCAAGTTCCCCATTGAGGTTCCTGGGGTTTCTAGGTCCCCAATGGGAGCCTGTGGCCCCCCCTCCAGGCACACTGACTGGATGCTAAGACTATCCTCCACACCAGGCACCGATGCCTCTCCCAGGGGAGCTGCTTCCTCAGAGGCTCTCCCATCCCCTGGGAGCACTCCAGACACCTCTGCCTAAGCTCAAATGGCAGGCTGCTGGTCAGGTAGGCCCACATTGGCCCCAGGCCTAGAATGCTGGTGGGAAACTCAGTCTGCCCCAGCCTGAAGCAAGAGGACAGTCACACAGACGCTCTTGCACTCCACTAGCCCTTGTCTTCCATGGGTAAATACAAGCCCATGATCATTTCAGCCACAGGCTCCTGAGGACACCTCCTCTACATTGCCATCAATAAGGTTGCTCCAGCTTTGGAGTCTGACATTCTAATATGCTGACTTCAGAGCACAGCCTCTGGTTCCTCTGACTCACCCACAGCTATTGGTACTACTCATCTTTGCTCTCTGGAGACCTGAATACCTGATCCCTTGTCTCTTTCAGTCCTTTCTGGTTTCACTTCCTTTCTAAGGAGGCACGGCAGTCACTCTCTTATGTGCATCCTCAGTCCCTTAAGCTGAGGGGACGATGGCCATCCCCAACTCAAATAGCCAAATCTTCAAGCAGGAGTCCATTCGTAACAGCCTTCTCCTCTCCATTTGGTGCTGGGCCCTGTTGGAGGAAGCACCATTCGTGGAGATTGGCCTTGGTGTCAGCTGGGCCTGAAAACTTTTTAGTGTTGAGGGCAGCTCCTCATTCTTTTGCTCCTAATGTTGATCGTTGTCCTTAAACTCCCTCCCTTGCTTCTTTTCTTTCCTTTTCTTTGAGTTGAGGTCTCAGGCTGAAGTGCAGTGGCACAATCACGGCTCACTGCAGCCTCGACCTCCTGGGCTCAGCGATCCTCCCTCTTCAGCCTCACAAGTAGCTAGGACTATAGGCATGTGCCACCACGCCTGGCTAATTTTTTTTATTTTTTATTTTTGTAGAAAGGAGGAGCCAGGCTCGGTGACTCAGTCTGTAATCCCACGCCTTTGGGAGGCTGAGGTGAGTGGATTTCCTGAGTCCGCGGGTTCGAGACCCACCTGGGCAACTTGGCGAGACCTCATCTCTACAATAAATAAAAAATTAGCCGGGTGTGGTAGTGTGCACCTGTAGTTCCAGCTACTTGGAAGGCTGAGGCAGAAGGATCACTGGAGCCCGGCAGGTCGAGGCTGTGGTGGCTGGGAGCGGCCACTGCACTCCAGTCTGGGCGACAGAGTGAGACTCCAACTCAAAAAATAAAATAAAATAAATAAATAAAAAATAAAAAAATATTTAAAAAAACTTCTCAGTCGGGCTCGGTGGCTAAGCCTGTAATCCCATGCTTTGGGAGGCTGAGGTGAATGGATTGCCTGAGCCTGCGGGTTCGAGACCCGCCTGGGCAACTTGGCGAGACCTCATCTCTACAATAAATAAAAAATTAGCCGGGTGTGGTAGCACACACCTGTAGTTCCAGCTACTTGGAAGGCTGAGGCGGAAGGATCGCCGGAGCCCAGCAGGATGAGGCTGCGGTGGCTGGGAGCGGCCACTGCACTCCAGTTTGGACGACAGAGTGAGACTCCGACTCAAAAAAAAAAAAAAAAAAAGAAAGGAGGTCTTGAACTCCTGTGCTCAAGCAATCCTCTCGCCTCGGCCTCCCAACATGCTGGGATTACAGGTGTGAGACACTGCACCCAGTCTCTGTCTCCCTCACTTGCCTGCTTCTGCACATGAATCTGGGCATCTGTTAGAAGTGGCTTCTACAATGCTTGTTCTGTCCTTTTCCCCTATGTCGAAGGAAGGTAATCCCTCTCAATCATCTTGTCCCTGAGTTAGTCCTCTTTGGCTTCCTTGGAGGCCTTGCCCTGTAGATTATTTGTGCTCTGCCTTTTCCCTGTCCTTCATATGATGAGCCCTGTTGCCTCAATCTCTCTAATAATCACTTGACACGCTTCCTCCCTTCATTCCCACTGTCACTGTCCTTGCCAGAATGTTTATATTTCTTGCCAGAATGTTTACAAGTCTCCTAATTTGTCTCCTCCTCCCCATGCTCCAATATATCAAGCTCCATACTATCCAGAAAGAGCCGTTTTGGTGGGACTTAGACAATACTTGCCTACTGAAAACCCTGTAGCTCTGCCTGTCTGCTGGATGAAGCCCACACTCCTTTCTCCAGGACATGTGACACCATGTGTTCCAGCTCCTGTGAACCTCTCCAGTTTCACCCCGAGGCACCACCCCACTGTGCTTCCATCCTATCTGACTGGGTGTGATTCTTAGAACACACACTGGCACATCATGCCCCTGTGCCTAGTGCATACACCTTCCTGAGCTGGCCTGCTTTACGTGATGGCCCATATATTCTTGTCTTTCTTTCCTCTTGGAAACCTTCCCAGTGTCACCAGGCAGAGGGATCACACCTGTGTCATATGCCTTGTATGTATGTACCTGGGCACCATGTATTTCAATGTTTGTTGGCACCTTTGACTCCTCTCTCAGACTGCTGGCTCCTTAACCATAGAAATGGTAGCTTTATTTGTCTCTGAACCTCAGTGCCTATCACAGTGCCCTGCCCTGTGACATTCCCTAAACGCATACTGAACAAATGCATTAATTAACATCTTCCAACTTTTCTCTGTACTGCTGCTGTTTTTCCTATTATTTATCTAATTGTGCCTCTGAATGAGATCATCCATTGATGCTCTTGGGGCAGACAGTGGCTGCCCTTAAATCCACTTATATTTTTACTTAGGAAAGCTCAGTATTTTTTTCTTTTTTTGAGTTGGAGTCTCACTCTGTTTCCCAGGCTGGAGTGCAGTGGCACACTCACTGCCACCCCAGCGTCGACCTGCTGCGCTCCGGCAATCCTTCTGCCTCAGCCTTCCAAGTAGCCAGAACTGCAGGTGCATGCTACCATGCCCAGCTAATTTTTGATTTATCGTAGAGACAAGGTGTTGCCAAGTTGTCCGGGCTGGTCTTGAACCCATGGACTCAGGCAATCTACTCGTCTCGGCCTCCTGGAGTGCTGGGATTACAGGCTGAGCCACTGAGCCCGGCCAGTATTTTTAATTCTCGCCCTCAGTTTCTCCAGTGTCCTGAGAAATGGTCTGTGTTGGATGAAAGATCTTTACAAATAAGTACAGTGTGATGCAAAATGTCCTTTGGGATATTGTTATTACTGGCTAAGAGAGGATGCAAATTTTACAATCAGAGTGTGTTCCTGTGCTTCCTACTTGCCTCTCTGGGAGGAATTTTGAACAGTGCAGCAGGAGATTAGAAATCAAGGGTTCTGTCTCATTTTGCCATCGAGACTGTGCGCTTGCAAACAATTACACAACATATTCTTCTCCTTTTTTTTTTTTTAACAGCTCAGCCTCTCTAAAGTCCATAGGGAAATACCACCAGTCTTCTTTTTCATGTGCACAGCCTAACTGGCTAATGACCAGGTTGCTATTTGCAACACAGATACCTTTCAGAAGAACGATACCTTTCACCCTCTGGAGGGTGGCAGATGCTCTTTTCATTTTTAATGAAGAACTTCTAATTGGCTAAACCTTGGCACTTTCTTAGAGTGGGCAACTGTTTGAGTTGCAGAACCACAGACATGAGAAAGAAACAACACAACAAATTGACTCGGGCATATCTCTGCTGGCACACACTGGCAGTCATTAAAAATAAAGGTGTGAGAGCCTTTTTAATGGCACAGAAAGATATTTGCCATGCATATGTGAAAAGACCAGGTTACAAAATAGCACCACTGCACAGGCTCATTTTGAAAAAGCATCTCTCTCTATATGTGCATAGAAAAAAATCCTAAAAATTTAGAGGACAATGTGTGTTTATTTCCAGATGATGGGGATATGGGGGCTTCTATTTCCTTTTTGCCTGCCTGTATTTTCAAAATTTTCAAAGTAAGTCAAATTACAATTTGATATAAGAACTGCATCAGAGATTATTTCACTCACAAAACAATCCCCCCACCAGTCACTGCAACAGTTTTTGAATTCTAAGAATGTCCCCTTGGATTTTCCTAGAATACTCTAGAATTTTTTTCCATTGATCTGTTCAGGCATAAGCAGTGGTCTTAGAATGTATGTATGGCAATGCCTACTAGAAGGTGAGCAGAGGAGGGGGCTGAGGTGGGTGGGAGGTAATGAGTGATAGGCAGAGCTGTGGCTGACAATCTCGGGGACCTCCCAGACCTGATTCCAGGATCCAGGCCCATTTAAAAACACTGTGTTGTATGTATCAATGTCCTCAGTCGAAGAAGAAGAAATGGCCCACCAGAGAAAGCATCCTGCAAGCCTTTAGTGGCCTTGCCTGAGTCCTTGAATCTGGGGCGAGACTTTGTGAGCATGTCTCCTGCTATTCTGACAGACAAGTCAGAAAGGCCTGGGGTCAGTGTAGAGCCGGTACTGTCAGGAACCAAGGGTAGAA